CTAAAGCCATCTGGCCCAACTCCCCACTTGTTGACAGGTGGGAAACAGGCTCAGAAGCGGTGGGCCACTGCGTGGACAAGGTGGGCTACGGCAGATCGCAGGGCAGCTCAGGTGACACTTTCCAGTTGGGTCTAATTGCATAGACTGGTTCTAACCCTCATCACTTACAGGGCTCTGCTTTCTTTCCAAAGGTTGGTGCATCCTTTTGAAATCCCAGAAGTCTTCAGTCTTCCCATGGACCAAGGAGATGTCCACTATTTCAAGTGGCTGGAGGAGGGCATGGAGGAGGACTGATTTGGGGCAGGGGGAGGCTTTTGTGTCTCCTGATGGCTGCCTCTAGGGAAGGGGGGTCTCTCTCTGTTTCCTGGCACCTCTGGATTCTGTGTCATTACATCACGGAAGAGCTAAGGAACTTGAGAGGCTGAAGGTCTGAGCCCCTGAGGCTGGAAGAAGAGGCTGGGTTGGTCGGGCCAACCAAGAACCTGGTGGAATTTGTCTCGAGTGCTTCAGGCTTAAAGGTGGCCAGGGGGTGGGAGGGCGAGGATGGTTATGTGGGGAGGCCAAGGGGAGGAGGCAGTGAGGGTGAGGTTTGTCATCTGCTCCTTCAGTCCCTGGGCCTACCTCGAGTGCCCAGGATGTAATTACTCTTCTGCTTCTCATGAGGAGGAATGGACCTGGTGACCTGTTTACCCGAAGTGTGTGGGCTGAATGTCGCCTTCTAGGGGAACTGGCAAGCCCTTTATCCAAAAGGATGAATTGCTAATGGTAGAAATTTAGGGACAAGCAGGATTATTTCTTATAACTAAAGATGCTATTTGTTATTCCTGAGTCCTGAGGAGGTGGGAATGGGCTTCATGAGTGTGGGTAGGACTGGGGGAACATTAGGTATTAGACACAGCCTCATGGCTTAGAAGCAGGTCTAGACTCTTCTGTAGCCTGAATGTGACGGGTATCAGAAGGTTCTGGTGCCTTGCTCATTGGAGACATAGGTTCTGAGCCCATGTTCTAACCTTGTCAGTTGAGCATTGAAACTGAGCATCCAAAAGTGGAAAGAGCCCTGGGAACTGCCAGACCAGTGTTTTCCAGACTTGTTCCCTTGGGTCTCAGAAGTTGACAGATGGTACCCTGGGTGCTTCCTGGGTGGGGGTAAGGGTATGAGGCTCCCCACCCATACCTCAACCAGTATAACTACCTTTTATCATTTTTATGTATTAAGCTCACTTGTAAGATTTTGGGTTTGGTTTTGTTTTGTTAATTTTTTTGGTTAAAAGCTAGTAAACCAGTGTTCTAAGCCAGTCTCCATTTTATAGATTACCAAAGGAAACTGAACTGCACTGAGGTCCAGCAAGGGGGTGGCGTGTTGCGTTAAGGATGGTAAGGCCAAGCCTACTCACCCTGTGTCTGGTGCTCCTCTACCTGCTCCCTGGGTCTCGGGTGGAAGAGAGCAGGGAAGGCAGAGCCCCTTTGGGGTGAGAAGAAAGACTTGAGCTAGGCCCCCTCCATGAACCTGTCACAAGGTAACCTCGCTCTGAGGAGACTCGTGGGCAGTTTGGGTGGGGGTCCACAGACCTCTGTGGAATCCCAGGTCTTCCCAGAGGGAAGGGTATGTGGGATGGGTATTTACTGCCAGGCTCCAGTTCTGACACGAGCTGTGCTTCTTAAACCTTAGTGCCTCCAAATATAAAATGGAGGCCCTCCCAGGGCCCTTCTGTGAAGCTCTTGTAGGGACTTAAGGCAGAGGCTCTTCCAAAGGTCCAGAGGATCCTTTTTTGATAGCCAGTGGGGATTTTGGAGGGTTACCTCAGGAGAAGGACAAAGAGAATGATAATGGTGATGTCCCTTTTTACAACAGATGTTTCTGATACACGCGAAAATCTTGGATAAAGTAAGCCCTAGGGAAAATGCTTTGGGGACCCCAGAAGGACTGCCTCTGTTGCTTTCGGGTTAGAGCCCAGTTTCTTTCTTTTTTTTTTTTTTTAAAGATTTTATTTATTTATTTGACAGAGAGAGAGAGTACAAGCAGGGGGAGTGGCAGGCAGAGGCAGAGGGAGAAGCAGACTCCCCGCAGAGCAGGGGGAGCCTGATGCGGGACTCGATCCCAGGACCCTGGGATCATGACCTGAGCCAAAGGCAGTCGCTTAACCAGCTGAGCCACCCAGGCGCCCTAGAGCCCAGTTTCTTGGTCTGGCCTTCAAGGCCCTTCATAGCCTTGCCTCCCCTCACTTTTTCTATCTTCACCTTCCACCTGTCCTTGCCCACGCTGGCAAGGAGATGTCTCCAGTAGGCTGTGTGAAGCTATTCCTGTGTTCGGGCCTCCCCTTGGCCTGGAGCGCCGCCCGCATGAATGCCTGGGAAACCTGGCTGCTCCTTTGCTAGGCCAGCTCTGCTTGGAGGGAAGCTCTCTGGCCTCGGTGTCCCTGTTATCCTTGTGTATCACGGTCATCCTCCTGTTTCTAGATCGTGAACTACTCGAGGTCAAGGGCATGTCTGAATCTGTTTGAGCTCTTGCACAGGATTGGGCAAGTATTCCCAAATTGATGTTTCAAGGATTTGAATAAAGAGTTCTCTGTAGCCCACAGTTACTCAGCTATGGAATTGGCAAAATCCAGCCTTTTTTCTTGGAACTTTCTTAAAGTGGGACTAATTCCAAAGGAGATTTTTCTATTTCTGGCCTTCATTGGGGCATTTTCTGTGCTGACTGCACAGAAAACTGTTTCTTGGGGGACTTCCTTTGCCTCAGTGTCCCACCTGGCTACAGGAAATGGGAGAGGGGAGGACAAACGCCAGCTCTCTGCCTGGTGCTCTCCTAGGTTCTCCACATTATTTTATCTTCTAACTCATTGTTCTCCTCAGCTGGAAGCTGACTCCTGAGATCAGAGAGCATGACACTTAAAATACTTGGCCGAGCTAGGCTGTGAACCCACGTGTCCAATTCTAGATCTGAAGCTCTTACTGCCTCCTTCAGAGAGGTTGGACATACCCTTGGTAGGCCAAACACCTTGAGAGCCTACTGTAGCCAATTCGAAAAGAAGGGGTATTGGTTCCAAAAAACTCTGTGCAGTAAGTTGGTCTGACACTTAAAAATGTATTGTTTACTTCTCCCCACTTATCTGGAGGCTGGTGACAGGATCTTTATTCTGCAGATGAGGGAACAGATCTAGAGGAGTTGAGTGATTTTTCAGGTCTGCGTGACTCCCAGCTTACTCACCCTAGACCACACTGTCCCTCCAGAGTGCTGCTGTGGGGCTGGGCTAGGACCTAGACTAGTGGCTCCATGCAGGAATGCCTTCCCAGCATTTCTCAGGGAAGGTCTGTTTTTTGAATCCAAAATCTCCAGAAAAGTCACTCGAGGAAATGAGAAAAAAATATTAAAATTATCTGTGAATACTGAAGCTTAAAAGCATAGAGATGTCTGTCAACTGGTTTGAAGAAATCATCAGATAAAAAAAGCAAGAAACACCAACATGTGGAGTTGAGGGTTGAAGGGAACCAGGACAGGAGTGTGCAGGAGAGAAATGATTACCATGGAATCAGTCTTGCTTGCAATTGTTGCTGAGTCCCAAGTGCGTCTGTCTAGCCCTGTCTGCTGCAAACTGTGAGTTATTTTTGCAGATAAGTTTATACACATAGTATACATTAAACAAATTCTGTGAGCTTTGTTTGAAGAAATAAGCTTTGAAAGCAAAATAAATTTTAATTGAGCAATTCTGACATGTGATTTCATGTAGTATTCTTAACCTTGCTAGGATATTTGAATGTTCTTTGAATGCTATCCAGTAACGTTCCCCGGCATTTTCCAGTGTTTAAATATTCCCTATAGGCTACAGTTCTTTGTAAATACTACTAAGTAAAATTCCTATTTGTTAAAATTTTTTCAGATATCTATGATAATGGGGAAAATATGAAAAATGTTTTAAGTATTTTAAGAATAACTTATGATTTGGGGAATTTTTGAGAATTCTAATTTCTTGTTCCTAAGCTCCAAAGGTAAATATTTATTGTAAATCTGAATCACTAATCTCGACCACAGAGAACCAGGCACTCTTCAGCCTGGGAAGGACCACTAATCTGAGGAGGTCTATACAGCTGTTCACTTTGGAACTTGGACTGGAACCCAAGTCTCTTGACACCGCAGACCATTCACTTTTCATTCCATTAAATTGATTTCAGCCCAAAGAATAATCCCACCCCCTTCCCCCACCCTGGCTCCAACTGTGATTTTGTTCTAAGGGCAGTTAAAAGGCCAAAGCAGAAAGCATGGTAGCAAAAAGTGGGAGCCACAGTTAGTGAAGTTCTAAGTGCAGACATTAATAGGCTACACTCTGGGGTGTTTAACAGGTTACACTCTACCCCTGAAATTACAGAATCCACTTGAACCCATGGCCTGCACCTATTTCTGACTTTCCTATTCCTTCATGCCAATTTTTTTTCTCAAATTCAGACAAGTTTAAGGTCCTAACCCATCACATTTATATGTGAAATGGTTTCCTCTTTCACCTGGGAGCTGACTTCAGCAGGGATTATTGCTGGCACTGGAAGGGTGAGGAATGCAAAGGAACCTGCCCAAAGTGCTGTAAGTTATAACTAGCAGAGACAGGCCTAGAACTGACTGCAGATTTCTAGGTTTATGTGCCTGTGTGCATTAAGTAGTTTTACAGTGGCTGTACGTATTTTAACAAGGTCCGTTTCTAAGGCCATTTCCCATCTTTTACTTCTCCATGGCCCTGAGCTAATGCTTTTTGCCCTGATGGGTCAGGTACTCACAGATAAAAATTCCACATCCTGTTGGTGGTAGGGTGAGAGTATTGTGGGGGAGAATGTGGGAGGCAGTTGAAGGACTGGCAGGTGGCCAGATGGGGTCCTGTCATTCCTCCTCAGTTTCCAGGAAACCAAGACCAGAAACCAGATAATTCCTCCTGGTGCCCAACAGCTGATAGTTCATTCACTAGAGGGAAGATAGTTAATTTTTCAAAGGGAGCTTTTAAATTATAAACCAGACACATTAATTATAACTTTAATATAACAAATGTTATTAAAAGCAGCAAATTCAAAACCATAAATCTTTTCAAAGGTGCACAGGGTTATTATAAGGTCAGTTGGCAGTAATGCAGCTGTTAACTGGTACAAATGAAATGCTGGGATGTGGAGTCAAGGTGGCCTTGCTAGGCCTTATGCTGAATTTCCAAGTGAGGAAGACACCCCCTTCCCCCCTTCCCCTTCTTCAAGCCCAGAGCCTCTCTGGAGCTTGAGTAGAGAAGGTGCAGGTGCAGAACTGTGGCAGGCCTTGCTTGTCCTGTGCTTTCTCAGAACCCTAGAAAGCAGGCCTGGGGGGTTGCTGTACCCTCTGAAGCCAGGCAGGAAGCCACAGATTGGATCCCAGGTCCCACACCCCTGCTGGGCGGGGGGCTGGCTTCTCAGCTCCCCTTCCATCTGGCCCCAGTTAGGGGCTTCAGTGGCAGCAGCTGTGGGGCTGAGAAGGGAGAGAACGGGGCCCACCCCCAGCTGTTCCCTGCCTGGCTCACGCTAGGGAAGCAGAGGGAAGTTGGTGGGCCGTGTGCAGGAGGTGAGGTCCTGTGTGAAAGGCACTATAGGAGCTAAGTTTGAGGCAAGGGGCATCTGGATGATCTCAGGGACTCCCTGATGCTCACGGGGGGGAGGGGCTGAGCCTAGCAATGGAAAAACCAGCTCTCCAGGCCCGCTGCCCCGATGCCACCCCTCTGTTCATCCACCTTCGCCCTGCAGCTGGCGGCCTGCAAAACCCAGCCAAGCTGGGGGCCGCAGCAGCGGTTGGCAAGGCTGGCGCCCATCTGGCCCAGGCCCTGCCCTAGTGAAGGCACTTATTTCTACTTTCCAATCATGTGAGTCAGTTTCTGATATCTCTGGAAGCAGCAAAAATGAGGGGTCCCCTCCCCTTCTCATTTCTGGTTTTCCTCCAGATGGGTAGGAGTTGTAATGTCAGTTCTAAAAATTCTATTTTTACTCCGACAAAGACTTTCCTTTGAGGGGACTGAATAACACAAGCCCTTTAAAAATCCCAACCTGTTCCAAAAAGTGATTGTCAATCTCCGGGCACAGCAGGGGCTAAGGAAGAGGGTAGGCGGGCGTCCTCTGTGCCTCCCCGCGGGGTCACAGCTGGTTCATGGCTGAAGGAAGGGGGCAAGGGCTGGACTTCCACGTGTGGTTGCAGCACGCGGCCCTGAAGAGGGCCGAGGGAGAGCCAAGGGCAGGAACCAGGCCGGTACCAGAGGGAGTGGGGGTGTGTGGTGTGGGTGTGTGTGGTGTGTACTCCGGAGGGTGAAAGCACACGTGTGATGGGGGCTTCTGTGTGAGTGTGTATTGCCTGGCTGCGTGTGTGGTGGGGTGGGGGTGGGAGGCACAGGAGACATCCGAAGGTTAGCGTGACACAGCTTCCTTCCTCCCACTTCCGCCCCCGTCCCGCAGGTTTTCCAGGCCACTTCCATTCCAGCAAGGCCAGGCGCAGCTCCTTGGCAGCTATGAGGGGGTGTGGCCAGGGAGAGGATAACTCCTGAGACCTGGGAGGCTGACACCCATAGCCCTTACGCTTAGCCTTAGTCACTGGGCTCTGTCGTTGGTGCCTTCGGAGGCAGAGACCCAGCCTCTTCTGGCCTCAGATCCCAAGAGTCCCAGGCTCTCTGCCTCCCAGGCTTTCACAGAGGCAGTCTCCCACCCTCACCACCCCTGGCCAAGGGCAGCAGGGAATGGCAGGAAAGCGGGAGGGGAAAAGCTCTGAGAGGCGTCCTCTTCTCTACCTTCAGCAATGCTTAACGGTTCCTGTTCTTAGAATGCGATCCGGGGGTCGACTGGCTGTGCATGGGTCAGGGGTGAAGGACATCCAGGAGAGGGACAGCCATGCACGTGTTAAGTGTGTAAACGCACACACCCAAAAGGGGTGGGAGAGAGAGGGACACAGACAAAGAGAAAGACTCGGGCCTCAGGAAAAAGGGTCGGAGAGCCAGGGGGACACCCAATTCAGAGTTACAGGTGAACAGTTTGAGGAAGTGTGTGGAGACACTGAGGCATAGCCAGTGGGACCTTAGAGACACAGGCAAAGGGGTGAGGAGCCTGAGGAGGCCCAAGAGCAGAATGGGCACGCGGAGCGGCGCAGGCCTCGGCCTGGCAGGCGGGCGCGAAGGGCCTTTTGCCAAGCACTGGGAGCTGTCTTGCTTTCCTCCCCCACCCCCACCTGGAGAGAAGTGTCTCTCCGTTGGTCTCCAGGCTCCTGGCATCTCCTGGAGCGAGTCAGTAAGGGGTGGTCCCTTCCCACTCCACCAGGTACTGAACCTTGCCCTCGGGTGTGACCCTCCTGGCCAACACCTGGTACTTCTCCCCACAGGCTAGCCGCCCGGCCGCGCCAAAGTAGTTGGTGATAGATGACTTGAGGTGGGACAAGGACGAGTCATCCTCACTGATGCTCTCGAAGGTGTGGCTGTCGATGCCTTCGTCCGGCCGCTCAGGGCCCGAAGCCCCCTCGGCACTGCTGTCCGAGGGGCAGCGCCCACCCAGCTCGGCTGCCCGCCGCTTTGCCCGCAGGGGCATGTACGCTTTGGCCGCCAGCTTCCTCTTGCGGCTGCCCACCGTCCGTCTGCGTCAGGATGGGGAAAGGAAGACGACAGGAATGGGGTGGAGTCATCCTGACAAGCCCCTCTCCCCGAGCACCCCCTGGGCACCGGGCGCTGGGATGGAGCACCTCCCTGGGTCCTCACCACAATCCCGAGGAGGCTCGGGGAGGGGGGGAAACGGCCCGCGGAGGGAGTGACGGCGCCAGGACCCAAGCCTGGGTGTGCCCAGCGCTAAAGGCCACTGCCGAGGCCCTGCCTGCGCTGCCTCGTCCCTTCCCTGGACTGTCCCTGGACTCGCAGCTAGGAGTCCAGTGGGTGGGGGGATGGGAGCGACACACTACCGTACCTTGTCCCCAGAGCCTGGACTGGAGAAAGGCAGACGTGCGTGTGCAGCACACACATAGGGACAGAAAGAGCTGGGGGAGAGACGGACACACACAAAACAAGAGGTGCGTGTCCACAGGTGCTTAGGAACAGGAAGCAAGCCCCGAAGAGCTTGTGAGAACCAAAGAAACAGGAGGAACCAAATACAGACAGAGGTGATGCAGAGAGAGCCACCCAGAGAGGCCTGAGGGCGGACAGACGCCAGGACATGAGTGTCCTAGAACGCAGTTGCAGGAGCCTCCGGCGCCGCTGAGGACCGGCTACTGCCAAACAGACGGTAGCCTTGTCTAGGTCCCCAGGTGTTTCTGTCCCCTCTCCCAGGCCCCACCCCCTGCACGATGCCATTTCCCCCTCCATGGGGCTTCCAAATCAATGGCTCAATCAAGACAGACCCAGATTGAGACAGCCAAGAAGCAGGGCACGCTGCACTCAGAGGCAGAGACATGCGAAGCCATGGCCCATGGAGGCCAAGAACCCTGGCGCGGAAACTCCCCAGGGACAAGGGTCACATCACCCGCAGCCGGGGCAGAGCACCGTGAATGGCCGCACGCAGCCCCGTCTGAACCCCAGGACTCCGAAGCAGATGGTCCCAGACCCAGACTCACGAGCGGAGAGAGCCAGGTCCCCAAGCTGGAGGAGGCACGGCAGGGGGCGACCTCACCTGGAGTCGTAGGAGAGGCTGGTGGAGGCCGAGCCAGAGGTGCTGGCGGCGTCCGTGGAGTCCACATCTGAGAAGAAGGTCTGGCCTGAGCTGGCGCTGAGAGGGAGCAGAGGGTGAGCCTGGCCCCCGACACCCGGCTACTCTCTAGACCCGAACGGCCTTCATTTCCAGCACCTGTTTCAACCTCCTACCAGCCATGCAGACCCAGGTGACGAGGTTCAGAGAGGCCGAAGGACTCCGCTGGGGCTGCACAGTTTAGTAACTGCTCAGTAGGGGCTAGAGCCCAGGCCTGTCTGACCGAAACCCTTCCTCTCCTCCAGGAAGCACTAAATGACCTTTCATCATTTTGGAGCCAAAACGGGACTGTGCAGTCCCTCCCCTGAGGTGCACCGACACAGCCTGGGGAGCCTGGGGAGCGTCAGGGAAGGCGCCCTGGAGGAATGGGAATGCAATTCTGGTGCACAGTGGGAGGGCCGGCAGAAGCAGGAGAGGGGCTGGAGAGGTCGGGAGGGCCCAGGCAAGGTGGCCTGTGACCGTGCTCTGGGGAGCTGTCCTGGCCACCTTCCAGCAGGGGCATGGCGTGCCGAGACAGCTCTGATGTGGGAAGACCGGTCAGGCAGCCTAGGCAGGCAGCCTAACGCAGCGTGGACCCCTTTAACGGGAATGACCCCCGAGGGGGCTTCAACTCCTTGAAAGGCTCTCTGCTTTGTCCCTTCCAGAGCCTTCCTTCGTTGCTGGGGAATCGAGGTCTCACTGCTTGCTTCCACCCCACGCTTCAGAGCAGCCCTCTCTTGCCGGGTCCCTCACTGTTACCTTTTTAAGCTCTGAATTTCATCCAGCGAGAAGTCGAATATGCTGGCTAGGTGGTGGTTGGTGCTCCAGGCTGAGGTAAAGTCGCTCTGTGGACACAGGAAGGAGGGGGAGGAGGGTCAGTGAGCGTCAGACCCGCCTCACAGCAGCCTCTCTCTGCCAAGGGCTACACAGGCTCTCCGAGGACTGGGCCTCCGGACGGTAAAACTGGTCACTCGCTCTTCCGTCCCAGGCCGGCCAGGGAGCCGGGTCACAGCGGGCCTGGCCCTGACTCCCTCTCTAGCTGACTGCGCCACCTTCCCACCTCTGGGCCTCGGTCACCCGAACTGCAAAAGGCGGACAGGAACGGCTGCCGGGCTTCCCTGCGCGCGGGGCCGGGACGCAGAGCAGAGTGAGACGCTGACTACGAGCGCCTTGCACAGCGTCAGGTGCGGGGCAGGTGTGAGGACCGCTGGCGTCACTGCCCACACGGAGGGCTGCCGCGCCGAGGCCCGGCCACTAAGGAAAGAGTGCTCTGGGGACCTGTTCTAGGCTGGGCTCGGCCACTGGTGGACGTGTGACCTCAGGGGAGTCGCTGGCCCCTCCTGGTCCGCAGTGACCCCACGGGACTGTGGGAGCAAGGACATTACCTCCCCTGCCCTGCCCCCTCGGCTTCTGGGGAGAACTCGAGGAGATAAGGGAGTGGTCTTGCGGAGCCTTAGCCTTTGCTTGTTTAGCTAGGGGAGGAACTGGCTTCTCCTTTAAGGGACGTGGGGGAGTCTCCCCCCTAGGCCTGGGGGCTCAGTTCCCTGCACAGGAATCCCTACTGTGCGCTGACCCTGTGTGTGAATGTGGAGAGCAAGAAAACAAGAAACTAACACTGGGAATAGCATCTTCCAGCAAAAACTTTGATCTTTTTCTTCTATAAACTCGCCTTTTCTGCTGCTGGAATTCGTGAGGCAACAAACTGTGGAGACAGAAAGGGGAGAGGGGGGCCAGGTCAGAGCCTGAAGGCCCAGGGGGAGGACAGGCAGGGCTGGGGGACACAGCAGTGCTGGGGCGGGGGGAAGGGAGACAGGCGCTCCTTCCAGGCAGTGGGTGTGGGAGGGCGTGGGGCAGGGGGGTATGGTGGGCAGAAGAGAGAGAAGGCTGGTCTGTCCCCGACGCCCAGGACGAGGGGCTCAGCTCAGCCAGAACCAGGGACGCCTTACGCACTCTCACTTCCCCTTACCTCTCTGCCTAAGCCCTAACCCAGCAAGACCGGGCCCCCTGAGCTGGCTTGCCCTCCAAGCAAGGCAACAGGGGCGACGGTGGAAGGAGCCCAGGGTGTGGGACTGGGCCCCAGCTCGGTTGCTAACTGGCCCTCTCCGGTGCCTCCAGCTGGGCCTAGCAGGGTGGAGGTCTTCCCTGCTCACTTGGGCCCGTCTGGGCCCACTGCACAGCCCATCGGCTGGGGCTGGAGCTGGGAGTAGCAGAGACCCCGAGCTCGCCCCCCAGGCACTGACCCAGGCTTGCTCCTTCCTCTCTTACGCAGCTCAGAGGAGGCGCCGCTCTCAGTGGGCGCCAGGCCCTTGTCAGGCAGCAGCTTCCCTGGGGGGTTGGGGGGGACACGGATACGCAGACGGAAGATGCACTTCTTCTTCTTGATCTCCTTGCCACAGAGGAACCTGGGGGATGGGCAGGGGGAGGAGAAAGCTCTGGAGTCTGTCGGTCCATCCTCCTGGTCAGGAGAGTCAAGCATTAAAATTACCCTCTCTGCCTCCCCGGACCTAGAGCTAAAATCCAGGGTTGCCCGTGGAGACGCTGATTCCTCAAGGCTCGTGGGACCAAGGGTCCTGGGTGGTGGCTGGGGATGTGGCTATGGTTCCTCCCTGTCCTCCCTCTTGCATGTATATGATTCTTGCTGCTCCTCTCCCTTTTCTAGCCTGCCTCAACTGGCCCCAAGGTCACCACCTCCAGAAAGGTCTCCTCTAGCTCCCAGGGGAACAGCTATGGCCGACACTGGATTCTACACCATTCCGTTTTCTGGTCTCCCCAAGGAGACTGAAAACACCTCCAGGTGCTTCCCTCCTCCTTCCAACACTGGCTGAGCTGCCATGAGGTGAGGACGTGACTCAGACAGTCCTACCCTCAGAAGACTGTCCACAGGGAGTGCGGGAGGCCCCATTGTTCGAGAGTAGGACTGTGTCTGGGCCCCAAACCATGAGAAGGTGGAAGAGAGAGTGGATAATTCTGTCTAGAGATGTCTGGAGAGGTTTCACAGAAGCAGGGACCATGTCCTATTCCTCACTGTGTCCTCGGGACCTACACAGGGCTGATACAGTAGCAGTTCAACAAACAGTCATTCGTAGAACAAATGAGTGAAAGGGATGGATAGAGCATTCTAGTCAACAGAGGGGTCTTAGCAAAAGCACTGAGTGGGAGAGCAGTGGGTTCAGAATGGCCAACACCCAGAATAAATAAAGCAATGGATCAATGGCAGAAGGCAGGGGCAGGGTCTGCTCATGAGAGGCCTTGAATGCCGTGCTCAGGAGCCTGGGCATTCCCTGCAGCGGCAGCATGGGATGGGTCAGCTGTGTGTTCTGAGAAGGACTCGGAAGTCTGGAGGAAAGACGAGTTAGGAGGCTGCAGCCCACCCGGGAGATGATGAAGTGATCCTTCAGTGCCTGGCCCAGAACCACAGATGGTGAGAGCAGGAGGGGCCCTCAAAGCTCAGGGGTGAACCCTCTCTGGAGCCAAACCCAGGACCCAAATGCATCAAGCTGCTGGAGTGGTCGCGGAGGCATCACAAAGGAGGTGGGGTGCCCCCTGAATCTTGAAGAATGGGTAGGACTTATTTAGTTAAAGAGAAGGGGAGGGAGACCCAGGCTGGAGCACAGTTTGAGCAAAGGCCATGAGGCAGGAAGATGCTTTACACCCAATCCCACCTGTTGGGGGCCCCATGCACTCCCTCCCTTCCCTGCACGCACCGGCTTTTGTAACTGTTCAGCGCATTGAGGAGATGTGGTCCTCGGTCAGTCACGGGGGTGCTGGTGAGCTGAGGGGAGCAGCCAGCAGGAGAATCAGACCTAGGCATATGACCCCTGTCCCCTCCCTCCCCTCGATCTCTGAGTGAGGGCCCTGACTTCTGCTGAGATTCTAAATCTTTTCACCTCTCTGAACTCACTTCTCCATCTGGAAATGGGAGAGTTAACTCCTGTCCTAGATGGATCAAGAGGTTTAACGGGACACCTGGGTGGCTCAGTCGGTAAGCGTCTGCCTTCAGCTCAGGACATGATCCCAGGGTCCTGGGATCGAGCCCCACGGCAGGCTCCCTGCTCAGCAGGGAGTCTGCTTCTCCTTCTCTCTCTACCTCCCACCTCGTTCTCTCTCTTTGGCGCACGCACGCGCTTTCTAATAAATAAATAAAATCTAAAAAAAAAAAAAAAGGTTTAAGAATGCCCATGCCCTTGACCCAGTCATGCCACTCCATGGGATCTATCATAGAAATAGAACGTGAAATTCGAACAAAGCTTTAACAAAGCTTCCCTGCAGCGTCAGCCCTAATGACCGGCCAGTGTGCAGAGCGGGGAAGAGACTCCCTGCCCAACAGGAAGGAACGCAGTAAGTAAGCCATGGTGGAAACCAATGCAGTCATTAAAAATGTTGATGAAAACTCTTTCGGAATATAGAAAAGTATTTATGATATGATGTAAACTGAAAAAAAAAGATTTAAAATTTTATATACTATATAACATAAACCAAGGAAAAACAGACATAGAAGAAAGGATGGAATATATTAGTTGCAATTGTTTCTGAGTGGTGTGATGGGGGAATATGGATGACTTTTTTTTTTTTTTAAGTAGGCTCCATACCCAGTGTGGAGCCCAACACGGGGCCCAAACTCAAGACCCTGAGATCAAGACCTGAGCTGAGATCAAGAGTCAGACACTTAACTGACGGAGCCACCAGGTGCTCCCGGATGATTTTTTTTTTAAGTATACCACCTTATACTTTTTAGCACTTAACAAATTTTTCTACCAGTAACATGTATGTTCTTTTTATAAATCAAGAGAAAAGATATTAAAAATACCAGCTCTATCTTTTAAGGCTTTACAATATGTATATCTTTTTTTTTTTAGATTTATTAATCTATTTTAGAGAGAGAGGGGGGGAGAGAACAGGCACATGAGCACACACACGGGGTGGGGGGCGGATCTAAAGCAGACTCCCTGCTGAGCACAGAGCCTGATGCAGGGCTCGATCCCATGACCAGAGCCAAAACCAAGAATCAGCTGCTCAACTGACCGTGTCACCCAGGTGCCCCAACAGTATTTATGTCTTATAAATTATCAAACACTATAAATGAAGATGTTATTATATGAAAAGCTTCTACAAAGCATAAGGGTCATTTTGTGTGTGTGTGTGTGTGTGTGTAAATTCCTGTCTCATCAAAGAGAGATTTGGGGCAGTCAGTAGAGAAGACACCTCACTCTGGATTGGAGGAGAGGACTCTAAGGCTGTCGTTAGGGAAAAGGGGGCATGGCCCCACCATGGGAGAGGTTGGTTCCAGTCCTGGCTCAGCTCCAAAGCTGTGCTGGCCGCCAGGGAGTCGCTCTCCACCTCTGACATCCTGAAGGTCTCTCGTTTGTTACTTTACTCCCTGGGTCCCAGGGCCCCAGGACGACTTCTGCTATTCAGAGTAATACCAGCAGGGGGCAGGCCCACTTCACTTTCCACTGTAGCCCAGTCATCCGGGGGACGTCAAACTTCTCTGTAGAGAGCCCTGTTCCAGCCAGATGCACCCCTAGCTCCCTGCTGCTGAGTCAGTGAGACCCCAACCCGCCCACTGCCAAAGCCTGGGTCAGGAAGCCCCTTGCAGGGCACCGGCTCAGAGGCTTGGACTCAGGGACGTGGCAGCTAAGAGGCTCTGGGTCTTTCTCCCAGCCAACAGCCCTCACAGACAGGCAGTGCTACGGGAGAGTGAGCCCTCAGACACCGAGATCCCAGTGCTGCATGGACCGTGTGGCCCTGGGCAAACCTCTTCCCTCTCCTGACCTCGGTAAGCCCACTGTGGAATGGACTCCTGCCATTCTGCCGTCCCACGGGCCTGCGTACCTTGCCAAGCTGCAGGAGCTCCCAGTGGTGGTTGACAAAGGCCAGAATCTCCTCAAAGTCAAAGTACTTCTTCTTGCTCTGCACCCCCAGGTTGTAGAGGGCCAGGTGAACCACATCCACCCTGGGCAAGGGGGCGAGTAGGTGGGGCTGGGGTGAGGTGGCAGCCTGCCCAACCAGGGCTGGAACCTCCTGGGTCCGGGCTGAAGGGCAGGGGCAAGGCTGGGAGCTGGTGGCTGGAAATGGAATTGTTCCCGGAGGGCGGTGGGAGCGGAGCCGCTGGGAGGGGACGGGGGTGGGCCTGGGTCAAGCCCCACCCTCTCACCATCGAAGGGGCAGCCGCTCGATGTACTCCGGGCCCTGGTTACACACGGAGCAGAAGAACAGGTAGAACCTGGGGGCGGGTGGAGAGGGGCCTGTGGTGGGAAGAGCTGACATCCCACCCTAGCCCGGCCCCTCGCCCCGCACTCCCCACCTGCCTTCCCACAGTAAGTGTCATCCTCATCCCGAGGGCTGGTGGCCCTAGAGCGGGTGGGGGTTAGCATGGGGCAGGACAAACACCATAAAATACTTCCCTGCCCCTCCTTCCCCTACGTCGGTATAATGGAGTGTGGCTGAGTTCAGAGTGAGCTGAGCTAGGCTGGGCTGGAGCTGGCACCCTCTTCCCCTCTGAGGCACGCGCGCACACGCACACACAATCACAAACACGACACACCAACCGAGACACGCAGTATCTGGTACGACGACACACATAACCCTTCTGTTAGCTTAGCCCCATCTGTCAGAAGCCAGATCAACCATCCACCTCCCAGTGGCTCCTCTAGTAGCCTGGGTAGGGGTGGGGCGGGGCCTGCCTCATCCTCCTTCCCCAGACACTGGAGGAGACCGGGGCTTAGGGAAGGTGGGACTTTGCCTAAGGTCTCCCCCCAGGTCAGTGGCAACTGGGGCCGCGGCCCGACATGCTCCTTCCAGTGAGAAGGCCCCCGTCGCCCTGAGCGGACTCCCCAGGACAGGTGCCCACCATCAGAGACCCCACCCACCTGCGCAGGGCCTGGCAGGCGGTCTACAGGAGCCGCTGCCCCTGCTGAGGTCCCTCCCCCCACCCGCCCACCTCCCCCTCGAGGCTGAGCCGGGCCAGGTGAGCACCTACCGGTCTCCGAACATCATGGGCTCGTTGAGGCACTGGGTGCAGGCCTCGTGGAACCACTGTCGGCACCGGTAACACTGCAGCATCCGCAGGTACCATCTGGAGCCAGAGGAGCCAGGGTCAGGCCGGCCGCGCTCCCAGCCAGCCACCAGCCTCAGCCACCTCTGCCTACACCAACTCGCGCTCCGCGGGGGGGGGGGAGGGGGGACTCACGGTTACCGAGCACCGAGGCTGCGCCAGGGGCGGTCGGGGGAGCAGGCGTATGCTCTATCGTTTCATCTCACCGTCCGGTAAGAGACGGGCCACTGTCCTAATTTTATGGGTGACTCTGAGCTTAAATGGCTTGCTCAAGGTCACTCAGGAAGCGAGTGGTGGATGGTGACTCACATCCTGGGCTCCCTCACTTCAAAGCCTGTGCTCTTCATGCTGCCCTGGAGCCCCCATCTCTGGACTGCGCCCCATGCGCTGTTTCTCAGACACCACCGAAATGCAAAGGTTTGCCCAGGAGACACGCGGGAGACTAATGGCTCCTGCAAGCTCCACGGGGCAGCACCGCGTCTGGTTTTTCTTACCCTGTCATGTGAATGAAGGGCCAAGTGGTATTTCCTTAACGACAATCGATGCTTTGTTTACAACTTGCCAGGTGAGGTCCCTGGACTGCCTGCGTCAGAATCACCTGGGGTCTAGGTTAAACTATGAAGATCCCTTGGTCCACTCAAGACCTACTCAATCTTTTGGGGAGCCCCTGGGAGATGTATTTTTAACAACCACCCTGAGCAGCTCTGCCCAGTAAGCACTGAGAGCCACTGTCTCAATTCTGTAAAGGTCTCATTAAGCATTTCTCCCTGTTATCCCACATCCCTTCCTGCACTCAGGGAAGTTGATCCCACCTGAGAGATGAAATACTTCAAGGGATTTGCCCAAATTACCCAGTTAGGCTGGGTAAGCCTAGCCTCCAGTCCCTTACTACTTGTCAACAGATCTTGGGGCCAGGATTCAGGACTTCAGGGCATCCTGCAGGCTGTGTCCTGAGGGCAGAGACCCTATCTCTCACTTCTGTGGTTCCTGCCACCATGTCTGGTGCAGTCGGCCCAAGGGAGCAGGCTCAATCCCCCATGGCTACATGGACACCCAGCCTGGTAAGGAAGAATCAAAGACTCTTGTCCTATAGTCGGGGCAAGAATCCCCTCCACGGCATCCCTACACATAACCCCCAGCCCCTACTTGCACACCTCCAGAGGAAAGTACCTTAGTATCTCATCAGCAGCCTATCTCACTGACTCTGACAACGGAAAGGTTTATCTTCAATTCCACGCACCAACAGTAACAGCTCACATAATTTATTAAGTGCTGACCAAGTGCCAGGCCCTGTGTGAGACTTTCTGTGAATTATCTAATCGCTACTCTGCTCCCAACACCATACACGGGGACACTACGACGAGAACTGCGTTCAGGGGCTGCGCACAGCTCCAAGGAGCTGGGACGGTCTGGACACTCGCTTCAGTACTTCCTTCCCTTCCCGGGGCCGGGTCTGAGCGCGCTAGCCTCGCCACCTCGAGCCCCGCCTCCGGGCCCCGCCCCCACCCCTCGGGAGGCCCCGCCCCCGCCCAGGGCCCCACCCCCGCGCCCCGCCCCCCGGGGAGGGCCCCGCCCCGCGGCCTTACTCTCCCGGCCCTCCGCAGTAGCAGTAGCACTGCTGCTGGTTGGTGCGGTGGGGCGAGTCCCACTCGAGCTCCTCGGGCTGGTAGGACAGCACCATCTTCACGGCCTGCAGCGTCCTGGCGATGGCGCCCTTCTTCAGCGCGCCGCCTTTCTGCGGGGAGATGTGGGTCCGGCTCAGCCGCGGGGTCCCGGCAGGGGTTGGTGGCTGAGGGGAGGGCGGGGTGGCTAGCAGGGGACATGCTGACCCCGCGGACCCGCGGATACTCCAGTGTAGTCAGAAGCGCAAGAAGCTTTTTCTCATCGATCCCGAATCTATCCTCTCTCCATCCCAGAAGGCTCTCTTAGTAACAGTGTTAACACGCAACAATACAGGTAACGATAATAACCAGTGTGTACTGAGTGGGGGTGCTCCCATGGGTTTTGTCTGTTGATAGCAAAGCGCCTACCCCTGGCACCAAACCCATATCCATTCTGCCATTTGTGGAGCAAACAGGCGCGGGGGGCTAAGGGACCTGGCCAAGGACATAGCACTTGCCACCAGTGGCAGCAGCGCTGTCTGCCTCCAAAGCCCAGGCTCTGGGACCTGCAGTCCGGCCTGAACCCAGGGAGTCTAGGCTTCCCGACGAAGTGGGGAAAGGCAGGGACTGCAAGGACGGAGGGCTCACCCGCACAGCCAGTGCGAAGATGCAGCGTCGGCAGAACCAAGGTGTGAGCAGGGGCCGGTCCGCACTGCCCGCTCTAGGGATGTGGCACTGCTGGTGGTACCCTACAGCACAGGGGGGCTGGTGAGTGCCCGCGGGGAGCAGCGGCCCCAGGCCAGCCAGCCCAAAGGCCACGGGGCTGGGGAGGGCGGCCGCGAGTCGGAGGAGCCTTATGCCTGCCGGCTCCTTGGGGACTGGGGGGCGATGCTCACCAAGGCAGCCAAGCTGGTGTCCAAGCAGGCGGCTCAAAGACAGCCTGGGCCCCAGCGGGGGGAGGCACCCCCTCCCCACAGTCTGGCTTCAGCCTCCGTGCTCCATCTCTCCACCCTTCCTCTCTACTGGGAGAGGGGGAGCTCCAACCTGCACACCTTGTCTCACTTTCCAGAAGCCCCAGCTCCCCCCAGGGGTCACCTCCCTGGGCCCTCATTTCCAGAGACTTGCTCCCTGTCACTCTGGAGCTCCAACAGAAATAGGAAGCCGGCTGAGATCCCAACAGTAAGGCCTGCCCATTGGGCCAGTGGGGGTGGGGAGCCGCAGGTCGGAGCCTCCTCTGTGCCCTGCTCACCACACTCACCCAGGCCACACTTCCCACAGATGAGGATCTCATTCAGTGGCCCTGACGTCTTCCCCAGACAGATGTTGCACTTGGGCTCCTCCCCAGGAACGCCAGCTGAAAGGGAGAGAGGTCCTCCAGGGTCAGTTCCAGCTCACAGGAATTAGAAGAGTGTAAAATTCACCTTCCAGGTACTGAGCCTCTACTCAGTGCAGAGCCTGGCACTGGGCCCCACGGGCCCACTCACTGAGTCTCCCCAACCACTCTGAGGTACCTAGTATCATTAGCCCATTCTAAAGATGGGAAAACTGAGGCTCAGAGCGGTTAAGTCCCAGAAATTAAATAGGAGACAGATTTGAACCCGTGGCTGTTTGACATCAAATCCTTTGTTCTTTCTGACCACATCATGCTGCCTCTTCTGCCTAATTTAGTTTGTTTCTTAAACATGTTTTTTTAATTTTCTTGTTTTTTTTTTTTTTTT